TTAACTCAATCCGTAAAACAAAATAAGCCGCAATTTAAGTATCGAAATACAATTATATTTATGAAAGCTATAAAAATATCCTATTTTAAATAAAATTAAATTAAAATTATCAAATTTTGTGTTACACGCTAAGAAAAACTACAAAAATGTTTTTCAGATTGGCTTTAATCGGTAGTAATGACAGAAAACAGCGCCATTTTGATTACTAAAATAAGCAAACTCCTATCGGAATTTAGATTTCGCTTGCTCTAAACCTGCCGGAATCGGATTCGTAATAATTTCGCATCGGAATTTAGTTCCGAGCGGAATCAGGATACGGCCTAACTGACATTCACGGATTTATGACGTCACGAGAGCTTCATTTCGATCGGAATTAGATTCCGTGTCTTTACGATCAGTCCACTGCGGGACAAATTCTGAATATAAGAATTAAGAATGTTGAATAAGAGCAAAGAAGAAAAAAAATCGAAGAAGTTACTTTTGCACCTTAAAACCCTTTTTTTTATCTATTTATTTATTTTTTTAAACTAATTCCTACTTACGCATTTGCATTTTGATATTGGAAATGCACATGGAAGTGTGAAACATGAATGTTACCAGCTTACAATATCTCAAAGAGTGTAATTCACTCATAATTTAAAAAAAAAAAAAATTACTCATGTTTTTCACTCTTGCTTTCTTCCAGTTATGTTCGAGGTCCTAATAAATATAGCTATGTTTTGAAAAGAATTAATTCTAGAATAATTAGCCTGTTGCAGCTTCTGATTAGACAGCGTGACATGTATTTATGATGTCGTGTTGTAATATAATATACTAATTACAAAACAATTATGGCAAAACAGTTATGACCCAAGACTGATTTTATTTATTCAATTTTTAATATTTCAAAGCGGAATTTTGAGTAAAAGTCATAAAGCTTTTATGTTAATTAAAAAAAAGTCTATTTAAAAGTTTTTCTTGACAATTTTAATTTCTTTTTATTTCTAAGCAGAAAAATGGAATAACTTTAAGAAAAAAAATATTTCAATGAATATCTAAAACATTGGTTACAATGATAAAAAAGTATCTTCATAATTAAAAGAAAATATAAATCTCAAAACTGTAGGAAAAGAAATAAAAAAGTGAAAAGTTTTTTAATCTTAAATATTATATAATTTCTCAAATTTTTCCACTTTAATTTTCCTGGTTTTAAATCGAAATTATTAAGTTTAAAAGGCAAATTAATATTATTTAATTAATAAACAGAAATATTCGCATTTTAAAATAAATGATGAATTGTAACTTGATGGTTGGATAATTTTTTTTCCTCTCTCAGCAGTATTTATAATTTCCGTTTTAAAATTTTCAAAAATGAATACTTTAAACTCGGAAAAATTATTCATGAAAAAAGTTCTCAAAAGTTACTTAATGCAAAATAATTACTTTAACTATCCTACAGGATTTCAATTTAAAAAACAAATACATAAAACATGCTCAACATGACCTTCCCTTAAATATTACGAAAACAAAATATCCCATTCTTAAAAATATATTGTTTTTTTTCCTAATTAGAGCAACTTTTATTGCTGATAATAAAATTCTATGGATTTTTTAATGAAACTTTCGTATTAAAAATATTTTTCGTTATTTTATTTGTTCGATTAGAATTTTTTTTTGTTATTTTAATCGATTAAATACGTTGAAGTTAATGTTATGTATTAAGCTAAAAAATTACCTTTGTTCAGATGAATTATTGTTGGTGTAAAAAAGGATATTTTATATAGTTTATTTCAAATAAGAGAAAATAAAAGTGTAAGAGATTTGAGGTTTCAGCTGTGCTCTACATATGTGGTAATCATATGAGTAAAGAATAAATTTCAAAGCAGATTTCTCAAATATATAAAACAGAAAAGCAGCATCTACCACTTCTTTTATCAATGAAAGCAAAAGACTTTATATTAATTTCATTTCAATTAAATAAAGGTTGTGCTGATTTCAAAGAATCGTCATTGGAAAGTCACTCGTAAAAGTAGAAAGAATTATTGAAACAACGAAGAAATTTTTTTTTTAATTTCAAAGAACTTTATTTTGTATTGATTGAAAAACAGTGACTAATTTAAAGTAAAATACTTTAAATGACAACATATTTTCAGCTGTTATCAACGAAACAATGTTTACAGTTTTTTTTTTTACTTAATTAAAAGAGATTTTTTATTAAATTAAATGTAATTCTTTTTATAAAAATTTGAGTTGACAAAAAATTTATGCTTGAATTAAAAATAGTTAATTTAAATAATGCTATCTAAAAAATCAACGATCTAAAAAAAATTTAAAAAGAGTGTTTGAAACGCTTGTTCTAGCAAATATCTCTTAACGAAATGACCAAGTAAATGTCAACAAGAGACACCCCCAATTCAGAACCCTTATGGGCCTAATGCATCTGTTTTACCAGAACATTTAGTTAATTGTTTAAGATAATTTATGTATATATTTACAGAACCATCTATTTGTTGTATAACATTTTCAAAAAAAAAAATGGCGTAAGAGCCCTGGCCCATAAAAATGATTAAGGCAATTTAAAGTAGCAAGCAAACATTTTCTCATAGTACAAAATGAGGTGACTATGTTCTGAGGAGTCAAATAACTGTGGGTAAGGCCGGGATTGTCTGGTTGGTAGGGCTGTAATACGCATTTTCTCCTGGGAATGTTTTTTTTTTTTAAGAGTAAAGAGTGTGGATGAAAAAATTTTCCCCACTTGTCTTTGAATAGTTAAAGACATTAAACAGTTCCGAGTTACTTTTGATCTTTTCAAGAATCAGAAATCTGATTTTCCCAATAGAAGGGCGAAGGAATTTTACAACAAAAACTCTACAGTACTAAACGTTACACTTAGAGAAAAATATTCAGCATATATGTAGCAGACAATGAAGCAAAACACCGTAGAAAAATAAAAGACACCGGAATCTGTATTTCATAATCATAAATTAATTTGATTGAATGTAGGGTTTAGTGGCACAAGGTCCAAATGAGGACATGCTGCGCCAAACAATATGGTGAAACAGTTCAAACGTATGAGTGAATGCGGAATGTTAATTGCAGCACAATTAAAACTGATAAAACAGTACAAAGTGAATAAAACAAGATAAAAGTATGAATACAATATAAAACGCGCGAAATACTAAGTAAAATGAGCAAAGGTGATAAGAGTGTATAAAACAGTAGATGTGTTAAAACTTTTATATGCAGTTAAAAATACCAACGGCACGTAAAAATGCAAAAATGTTCGGATGGTGAATCCCATCCAACAAATCTTGCATGCATAAAATAGAACTTCCAAAAAACTTTAAACGATGTTGATTAAAACATGAACACGTTATTAAAATATGATGAATTGTGAGAGGAACGTTACAAGTACTGCATTCAGGGGGAGGTTCTCCGAATAGTAAATGGAGATGCGTTAACCGGGTGTGACCGATTCGGAGGCGGTTGAGCTTCACATCAGCACTGCGCAAACGCAGCACTGGCAAACTGTCTAAATCAGATTTAATGTNAAAATTATTAAAGTGTCCACCAAATTATCCCCTTACAACCGGCTATTAATAATAATTTGAATGCAATGGAGAGGAATGCCCCCAGTCGTAATAGACGATAGTACACATTAAATGTAGGCTATGCAGAAATTGTTTTCCGCCTCATATCATATTTTAGGCCATCATCGATTTTAGCGACACCTGTGCTAACTATTGTTAATAGAGTTACAGGGACAGAATAAAATATTTTTTAAAAATGCTTTATGCATATTTCTCAGCATATGTATATATTTTTCGAAATTTTGACACCAATCCTTTGATTTGGTTTTTGTACCAAAGTTGCCATTTGAGCCCAAAAATTACAAAACACTGTTAAAGTGTCCACCTAATTATCCCCTTACAACCGTCTATTAATAATAATTTGTATGCAATGGAGAGGAATGCCCCCAGTCGTAATAGACGATAGTACACATTAAATGTATGCTATACAGAAATTGTTTTCCGCCTCATATCGTATTCAGATATAACCACAATAATAAATACAAATTAAAAGCTTCTTAATTGATTTCCTGGCATAGAGTGTTCAAAAAAAAAATTTTTTTTTTAATTTATTATTTTCAAACTTCTGAAAGCTTTAATACACACACACACTCGCGCGCGCACACGCACACGCACACACACACATTTACATCTACTTCCATTTTTTTCAACCTTACAGCAAAGCTTTGTTTCCCTTTTATTCCATTTTTTTTTCTTCAGTAATGCAAAATTATAAACCCAAAGTGCTTCCAAAGACTGCTCCCATTGAATAAAAAATATCTTAACTTTATTGCACTTATGTGAGTGGTTGAAGATTAATTGTCGTTTTGTAATATTAATTTTGTTATTTTTGTTTTGATAATATTACAGTCAATGCTTCCTTGCTTAAAAATATTCATTAAATTCTCTCAAAATAGTTTTTTTTTTTTTTTTTTTTTCTTGGAAGAAAAATTATAGTTNTTTTTTTTTTTTTTTTTTTTTTTTTTTTTTTGCTTGGAAGAAAAATTATAGTTTTATTTTTTCTACTGCTAAAACAGATACTATGTCATAGTTCCTCAATTAAAAGAGGAGCCAAAGCTCATTCCAAAAGCTATTAAATTTTCCGTGCTTTATAGTTAGTATAAAATTTGTATGGGCATAAATAACATTATTTTTTATAAAGTTTCATTCTGCTCTTTTAAAATAACCTAACAGTTACTATATATCATAATTCTGCGAGGAAATATTTCTAGGTTTTCATTATTAAGAATTATNTATTATAAAGAAGCAATGGCCTTTCTGGAAAGCTTTAACTTTTTTAGACTTGGGAAATTTTATGCTAGATTCCTAGATCCAGCTAAAATATTCAAAATTTACATTTATATGGTTATGAAATGAAGGTAACTTTTTAATTTATATTTCATAATATAAATTAAAAATACAATATTAATAACAGTTTAATATTGTATTTTTAAAAAAATTTATAGATAAAAAATTTATTTAATTTCTTTTTTTTAGCTCATGTAGCACTAATGAAGGAATTAGGAAATATGAAAATAAAAAAGTTTTTTAGGTAATTAATTATCATTTTATGTCTAATTTTGTAATTTTGAAACATTATAGTGATACAATCTACTAATTAAAGTATATTAAGTCAAATATTCTTTGAAACAATTAAATTCTCTTCAATTTGGTTTTTATTGTTATTTTTTTTTAGTTTTAAAGCATATTTTATAATTTTTATAAAAAAATATAATTGATATGTTTTGAAAAAATATGCGTTAGTTATTTTCACATCTAAAAATATTTTGACTTGTCTTAAAGGTGAACACATATGATTGTTATTACTTTGTACTTGTATATTTGCTATCTTTCTTTTATTCTCTAATGTAGTATATTTGCTTGTAAGACCTTGTAAAATATTGTCTTTTTTTTAGGAATTTTGTTTTTAATTACTTTTTTTTTCTCAATTTGATGGATTAGATATATCTGGCAATACACTCTCAAGAAAATGTTTAACAAATATTGGAAATGATATCTTCTGAAACACAGACCTCTATTTTGGGTTATTAAGGAAGTTCTGTGCAAAAATTGTGTGCACCATTTCAAGGGTTGGTTAATCCCAATTTTTGATCCAGGGGTTGTCTTCTGGGTTGGGCTCAAAATTTACAAAAAAAAACATAGCTAAACATTGATGGTTGTAAACCTGAAACTGGGTTGACTGTTCAATGCCGATTATAAAATAAAATATTAAGTTGTGCTAAAGATGAACATGTTGAGATAATACTGTCTTTATTGGGANTATTCTCACCTTCATTTAGGACTCCGCGGAGAATAGTCTTGTAAATATACCAAAAATAACACATAGTCTTACATATGTCGCAAAATTTTTTCATTAGATATAAAATTTAACACAAAATCATATTTTATTTAAATTTCCAAAATTCCACAAATAAATAAGAAATTTTTTTACATTTTATTTGTAACATATTCAAATGAATTAAAGAAAATAATTAAAATTTTCATCATAGTTTTGTGTCTGCTGATTTCAGTACTTAAAAAAACAATCTGAGTTAACTTTTAGGAAATCTTCAAATATGCTCAGGAAGTAACCCCTACTCTTACTGCAAATAATTTTATACGTTCCTCCCAAAATATTCTTCACTCCTTTTTTATTTTTCTAACATAAAAGTGCAAGGTATATAGAATTATCTGAAAATTTTATTTGACTTTGGCTTATACTAATTACTTTTTTATACTTTGTAGTATTCTGACAATCCAGTTTTTTATACTTGATGAGAAATAAACGAAATAAACACAAGTTTAAGGATGTTTTTTTTTTAAATTGAAAATTATTCTCTATCTTCCAAAAAGGAAAATCTTTCTTTGCTTTTAGATCTTTATTTTCACCATTATTGATACTTATTTTAACCATTATTGATTTATAATTACTTACTTTTATTTTTGTAAAATTTCAAATTTTTAACTATTAATAGCCTAGTGGAGAAGACGTTTGTGAAAAAGACCACTTTTGTCTTGAAGGGGAAGAGAGTGACACAATTGATGAAGGGAACGATGCAAACAAGTCAGATGAAAATGTCAAGATATTGCCTGATGAAGAGATAGAAGAATACAGCTTTTGACCACATATTTATATAATGAAAATATTTATTAAATTTTTTATATCTTATTTACTTGAATTAATCACTGAATTTAATTGCAAGCTAGAGATTGTTTTTTTTAATTGATTCAGTTTGTTTGTATGAGTGTTATGCAGTGTTCACTTTAATTCATCCTTTGAGTAACTCATCATTTTTAAATTCATCCCTTTTATTGTTAAAAAAGGATACAAAAGTGGTAATTTGTTTCTGGGTTTTAGAAAAAGGTTTTTATACCATGAAGGTCGACGATATCTTAAACTGGTTTTTGACAGTACGCTTGAGATTTCCTTCCAAAATTGTCCCATAATACTGTAAATAATCAAAATACTTATAACTTGGAATATTTTCTGAATGTATTTTTTTCTAATAAAAAAAATTAATATTATTTAATATTTAGCTTTAAATACTTTTATCAAGTAAAACATATTTTTAAGAATACATCAATAAATGTTATATTGCCATTATTTTAACTGTAAAGACTTCTGGTGGCTGAGTGGTACTCTCATGTACAAGGTCCAGAGTTCAGACCACAGCCTTTCATCTGTTCATTGGGTCAATAAAATGTCAGGGAGAACACGGAAATTTAAAATTGTCACGGAACTTTATTTTGACTTTAAAAATCAGGATTAAGTTGTAATTTTTTCTAAAAAATTAGAAAATTCTTTCATTATGCCTGATGGTAAATGATCACTCTTAGAATTGTTACTAAAAGTAAGCAGTTATTGAGATTTGAGTTAAATAATTCTGATATATCATCATCATCATAGTTGGCCAGACAGCCCAATGTGAGCCAATGCCTTCCTCTGAAGATTTCTCCATGACGACTTCCAATTTTCTTCATTAATTGCGAGAAAATCAGACTCCATTGAGTCAGTCCATCTCAACCACGACCTTACCCTCTTTCTTTTTCCCAGTGGGTCTAAAAAGCAGTATCTTTTTATTTGTTGTATAACATTTTCAAAAAAAAATGACGAAAGAGCCCAGGCCCATAAAAATGATTAAGGCAATTTAAAGTAGCAAACAAACATTTTCTCACAGTACAAAATGAGGTGACTATGTTCTGAGGAGTCAAATAACTGTGGGTAAGGCCGGGATAGTCTGGTTGGTAGGGCTGTAATACACATTTTCTCCTGAAAATGTTTTTTTTTTAAGAGTAAAGAGTGTGGATGAAGAAATTTTCCCCACTTCATTTTGAATAGTTAAAGACATTAAACAGTTCCGAGTTACTTTTGATCTTTTCAAGAATCAGAAATCTGATTTTCCCAATAGAAGGGCGAAGGAATTTTACAACAAAAACTCTACAGTACTAAACGTTACACTTAGAGAAAAATATTCAGCATATATGTAGTAGACAATGAAGCAAAACACCGTAGAAAAATAAAAGACACCGGAATCTGTATTTCATAATTATAAATTAAAATTCTAAATTAATTTTCACTGTTTTTACCTTATTAGAAATAAAAAAATGTAAAAAAATTTTTAATTAAAATTCTGCGTCAAAAGGCAAAGAACACTTTTGGGAGAGCACTGTTAATTTAGGATTTTATTCTTAACATTCAAAATAGTTTTTATCTGGGTTAAAAATATTTCATTCTTGATAATGATGAAAATTTTGCAGTTTATGTCTAGTTTATTGAATTTGATTTCTCACCAAGACTAGGAAAACACTTCTTTAAATAGCGTAAATGTTGGCAAATATGAAAAGATCTCTAAATATTTTCAAAACGAGTGTTCCAACGTCAAACTTAATTCTGTTCTGATTAAATCTAGATTTATTTTGACTAATTATCCGTAGCTATAACTATTCGTAAAGCAATGAGAGAAATCCAACTATTATCCTACGATTTCCTTCTTGTAAATTCTAAGTAAAACCTAAAGATAAATTGACCCAAACTCTTTCTGCCTCTAAAGTGGTAATTTAAAACTAAACTCATTTCAGTCTATTGCTATTAATAATAATTTGAATGCAATAGAGAGGAATGCCACCAGTCGTAATAGACGATTGTACACATTAAATTATACAGAAATTGTTTTCCGCCTCATATCATATTTTAGGCCATCATCGATTTTAGCGACAATTGTGCTAACTATTGTCAATAGAGTGACATGGACAGAATAAAATATTTTAAAAAAAAAGCTTTATGCATATTTCTCTATATATGTATATATTTTTCGAAATTTTGACACCTATTCTTTGATTTGGTATTAGTATCAAAATTGCCATTTGAACCCAAAAATTATAAAAAATTATTAAACTGTCCACCAAATTATCCCCTTACAACCGGGTATTAATGATAATTTGATTGCAATGGAGAGGAATGCCCCCAGTTGTAATAGACGATAGTATACATTAAATGTATACCGCACAAAAAAAGGTTTTACTGTACATTACCCTAAAATAATGGTAAAGTCACTTTCAGTTTTTGACATTTTTTAAAATTTCTCAATAAATGCAGAGAAAATGATTTATTAACTTTAGAGGTGTTTAGTTTGTGCAATTTTTCTAACTTAGCAATAAAGGTTAATGCCTTCAGAGGTTTAAGGGGACCAACAATAAATTACAGAAGAATTTATTCAAAAAAAAAAATTCTGTACATGCGCAATATAAAAGAGATACTTTAAATACTCATATGTTAAGCAGTTTTTATCAAATTTTTTAAAATATTAAATCAATATGTTTGTAAATAATCTGAAATATCTCTAAAAATTTTGTTTACTTGTGTTGAATATTTTTAAAGTTACAGCAAAAAAACATAGGACAAAGGAATAAGTTTTTTACAATCTCCATAAATATTTAGCATAATGTAAATAATAATAACCACAATAATAAATACGAATTAAAAGCTTCTTAATTGATTTCCTGGCATAGAGTGTTTTCATCGTGAATTGTCATTTATATTGTGTATATATATATACATTTTGATAATATTACAGTCAATGCTTCCTTGATTGAAAATATTCATTAAATTCTCTCAAAATAGTTTTTTTTTTTGCTTGGAAGAAAAATTATAGTTTTATTTTTTTTTTTGCTGCTAAAACAGATACTATGTCATAGTTCCTCTATTAAAAGAGGAACCAAAGCTCATTCCAAAAGCTATTAAATCTTCCGTGCATTATAGTTAGTATAAAATTTGTAGTCATAAATAACATCATTTTTTTAAAAGTTTCATTATGCTCAAAATCTTCTAAAATATCCTAACAGTTACTATGTCTTGACATTCTCAGAGAAAATATTTCTTGTGTTAATTTTTATTATAAAGAAGCAAAAGCTTTAACTTTTTTAGACTTGGGAAATTTTATGCTAGATTCCTAGATCCAGCTAAAATATTCAAAATTTACATTTATATGTTTTTAAAATGGGTATTTATGGTTATGAAATGTAGGTAACTTTTTAATTTATATTTTATAATATAAATTAAAAATACAATAATAACAGTTTAATATTGTATTTTTAAAAAAAATTTCTAGATAAAAAAATTTATTTAATTTCTTTTTTTTAGCTCAGGTAGCACTAATGAAGGAATTAGGAAATATGAAAATAAAAAAGTTTTTTAGGTAATTATTTATCATTTTATGTCTAATTTTGTAATTTTAAAACCTTGTAGTGATACAATCTACTAATTAAGCTATATTAAGTCAATTTTTCTTTCAAACAATTAAATTCTCTTCAATTTGGTTTTATTGTTATTTATTTAGTTTTGAAGCATATCAATTATATTTTTTTAACAAAATTGTAAAATATGTTTCGAAAAAATATGCATTAGTTATTTTGTCTTGTCTTAAAGGTGAACACATATGATTGCTATTACTTTGTACTTGTATATTTACTATCTTTCTTTTATTCTCTAATGTAGTATATTTGCTTGTAAGACCTTGTAAAATATTGTCTTTTTTTAGGAATTTTGTTTTTAATTACTTTTTTTCTCAATTTGATGGACTAGATATATCTGGCAATACACTCTCAAGAAAATGTTTGACAAATATTGGAAATGATATCTTCTGAAACACAGTACCTCTATTTTGGGTTATTAAGGAAGTTCTGTGCAAAAATTGTGTGCACCATTTTAAGGGTTGGTTAATCCCAATTTTTGATCCAGAGGTTGTCTTCTGGGTTGGGTTCAAAATTTACAGGAAGAAACATAGCTAAACATTGATGGTTGTAAACCTGAAACTGGGTTGACTGTTCAATGCCGATTATAAAATAAAATATTAAGTTGTGCTAAAGATGAACACGTTGAGATAGTACTATCTTTATTGGGAGGATTATACCATTCTTTTTCAAGTCTCAGAATCGTTATTCTTAACACTACATTTTTTCAGCAACAGATTCATTGGCGATCATGGCTTTTCTTTAAATATGAATGTTCGCCTATTTTTGAAAATATTTACACAATATGTTCACAGCTATTCTTTCTAAATAGTGATTACCATCAACAGTCACCAAAACAAATGTTGAAAAATAGCGTCATGCTCCTGTGCTGTTCTCAGAGGTGCCAACCATCACAATTTCTCCATAATTATTACTATTTCATAGACAAAATAGGGATCTAAATTATGGTATAATAAAAATTATGGTTTTTAAGAATTTTCATAGCAATCTATTTAAAGTACGTTAATTTTCCTAACTACCAAGAGTTAATTTTTGTTTTGTTTTTTACAACTAATCTACGATGATTCTTTTTTATTCCTTGAAACCATTTTGAAAACAATACAAACATAGAAAAGTATAGACAATATAGGAAAACAAAAGAACATAAACTAAAACTTGAAATGCTGTGAGAAAATATTTTTAGTGATTTAAATGTAGTTGTCGAAAAAGATTAATAAGCGTTGCTCTAATTTAATCAGAAATTAGAACATTGATTCCAAATGATTGACACAATTTTATCTTTTTTACAATGAAGTATACAATTTCTGTGTTGTATATTTTTTAAATTTGCCATAGTATTGATTTTTTTGTTTTATTTTAATAGTACAGTATAGAACCAATTATCCGGAACGATCGGAACCATCGCTATTCCGGATAACT